AAAAAAAACAATCACTCACACTGCATTAAATGAAGGGCCCAGACCTGCGATGGGAGACATAGTTGACGTGACGCGGAATTGCTTATCTTCTCCTAATCCCTTAAAGAAAACATCGATGTTGAATTCACCCCTAGACGAAGCAAGCACTGAAATCTTCGATTCTATGGATTCTCTTTTGAACGAAGAACTCACCGGTCGAGCAAGACCCTTCACGATCAGCCTAGCCAAGTCTTTCGTGGCTTTATCGGTTTTTCTGGGGAAAGGCGTGTATGGAGGACGAAGCTTACCTATAAAGAGCGTATGGATATTACAAATTGAAGAAACTAATGGTTGTAAATTGATACCATCGCGAGTTCTCGCACTTCGTCTTCCACGCGCTTTTTGTGCGACGTTGCTATCACTGAAGAGATGATAAAGATGTCAGTTATATAGAACATATAAAATTCATGTGTAAGCTCACTCATCAGGAGTACGAAGGAAACTTGGACGGGTGTCGCTATCAACAGGATACTTCTCCGGCACAATACCGTACTGCTTTCTCAAACGTTCATTGAAGACCGCTGATCTTTTGAGGATTTCTTCGCAGTGCTTCATCCACTCGGGATCGAGGTAGTTGTCTGAACAAGTAACCTTTTATAGACATGACGCCAGTTCCTTGAAATTCCACAAACTACGTGCTTAGTTTGCTAATTACTGCGCCTGAGCCCCCAAAATAAGCCAGTCCTCGCTAATGGTTCTTGCCTTCAAACTTAAAGGCAAAAATCACTATAAAAATGGTTTCTGAAGCATCCTCTGGGATGAATCTGTGACCTCCCTGAACGCATGTGTGACGTTGTCAGGTCGGAAACGGCCTAGAGAGAGCGTTATAGTGGCTCAAAGATTGTCCCGTATGTATGCGGGGACGAGTTTCAACGGCATTCTAGAGACTGCATGGTTCACAAGGGAACCCATGTAGGACGTTCGAACATTTTGTCATGACCCATAGCGACAGTGAAAAGTTATTCAGTAGTTTTGGTTTGATGTAGTCCGCTCTTTGAACAACTGCAACAACTGAAATCTCGTCCGTATATCCCTCCCATGCCATTTCCGTCACGGTAATCTCGTACAACTCACATATATTTTACTACTCTTAAATAATATTCGTTCCCACAAGGTCTCAGACGTCTTCGCTTTCTTCGCACTATTTCCAATCAATATTCCCGCTTTTCGATTTGAAAAGGGTACCACAAAACTATCGGAACTGTGCCTTCAGGTCCGATTTAGTTTAAGGTTTTAGATAGAAAACCAACGGGGTAAACAAAGCGCAGCTATATCTCGAATATCGTTCAAATACAAAGAAAGGGCTTGGTGAGTCACTGACTTCCTTGTCCCCATCTTTGCATGCAGGACAGAGTTGCGTAAATGACCCCATTGTTAGAAAAGTTGACGTGAAGCCTACGTAGGAGTTCGAAATTAACTTCGAAATTGAAATAAAATTTTTTCGCCTTTCATTAGACCTTCTCAAAAATCTACTAACACATCGCACACTTCAGAATCCTTTGTGAGCAGTATAAAAGCAATAATGTCAGAACAAGACTTACAGTTTGGATCGAAATACTTCTTGGAACGGCCTGATGACGTTCCCGTCGAATCGGTACCACTATCTTGACGTCCACGGCTCTGTTCTGACCTGAAATGAATATGTATGAATAACACCTGCCAAATTCAAAGACCTTAAAAATGATAGCCACTGAAGGTTATTGCATTTAGCCGCCACAATGTAAGCTAACAACAGAAGCAATCAATCTTCAATGGCACAGTTCACGGAAATTTTGGAATGTCTAGTTTTAGATGAGTACTAGAAGTAGTAGCTTAGAATGTTAAAGTAGCGAAGAAACACGAAAATCAGTGTATCTCGAGGAAAATGAGGCTTAAGAAGTGTTAAAATCAGAGTTTGGATGGGACTGTGAGGACAGAAGCTGAGGGGAAGGCATCTTTCATAGTCCACGACTTCGCGAGCGACCAGTCGCGCGACCGGTCGCGGACCCATCTCGCGAGCGACTGGTCGCTCGACTGATCGCGCCACCGTTTGATCGGTCGAGGACGGCGCGCTAGTTATGGGCGCCGCCCAGGACGGTCCCGAGCAGATCGAGCGATCAGTCGCGCGACTGGTCGTGGACTATGAAAGCAGCCGAATGGGTGTTTGACGAGCTGTCCAGGTGTACATGCCATTGCGTACATCTATGTAGGTAATACAGTAGGCTACCCTGCAAGCAATGTGTACGTCCCGGTGTGAATGATGTAGCCTCTATAATCTCTACAAGTCATGACAACTCGTCTCATCAGTTGGTAAGATTAAGAAGGTGATAAGACCCACTAAGTTGCCACCGATCGAGCTGATGTATTGGTTACCCATATACACATTCCCATTTGTTTCATCTCTATTTTAATACTATGTTATCGATCGCTAGTTCCGAAAAGCCTAGGGCGAAGGTGATGATTAATCCACAAATGAGAAGGAGGCAGAGATAGTGAGCTACCGACAATGTTATTGGTCGTTGACGAAATGGTCAGTATTTTTCGTAGCCAAGTTGAAGAAACATGCTGATCTGCAACGATCTCCCCAACCAGTTCTTCTTCTCCTCATATCTAAAGCCTTGAATCAAAATTACAGGCCTAAACGCTTCCTAGTTTTGGTCTAGCGCTCAAATGGCATGATCACCAAACAGTTGGATTTTATCACTGAAACTTCCCCTCCCTCTGCAAACGCTCAAGCTTATTACGTCCCTTGCCACGAAATGACGGCATGTTAAGACCTACAAAATTCCGCTTTCCGTACACCTCTAACACATGGCATTCCCCTTACAAAACCAAGTTTTCAAACTGAAGACAACTGAAATTGAATAACTTGAGAAACGAACTCGAGCGCAGCTTTCTCTGTTTTGTCTCGATCCCTGAAAACTCCTGGATCCCTGTAAAGAGTATTAGATTTCTCACTTCAAAGATACCTCAAATTTCGAAGTCTTACCCCGATATCCTATAGCGATAAGTGAACGATATTTTGTTTTCATCCCGTTCAACAGTTTTGGCAAGGAACACTGCCTAGAACATTTTGCACTATTGTTCGAGAAGCAAACATTACTATAAGAGGGCTGAACACCGGAAGAGTTTCCTTATTTAGTTCCAAAATAGTTTCTTCGCACCTCCACTCCCTCGCCTGCGGGGCGACCTCTTAACCTGGGGGCTGCTGACTTTTGTGCCAGAATCAGCTGAGCTTATATCGGAGTTTTGTAAATTCAAAATTTTATTTTTACCGTTATTACAAATGCACATTCAAATAGTCAGACAAAAGTATAAAATCAAAATCATATCATCATGGCATAGGCTCAAACTGAAGTAGCAGTAGTTCTCCCGAATCCTCATTCTCTTACCTAAGATGGTAGGCAGGCAGGTAGTCGTGGCTGTCGAAAAGACCCGAGTAGTAGTCATAGATGACCATCTCCACCGCCCTCCGGGATGCCGTAAATCTGGGCGACGAAGGGAAGTCTTCTTGGTCTTGTAGTTGACGAAACTCCGGTGTGCTTTGCTCTTCCCAGCCTCGGAGGCTTAGGTCAAAACTGATGCTCTTCTCTCTTCAAATCTTCCTTTACCGCTACTGTTGTTATTGAGCTTCGCAATTCGGACCTTAAGGGGTTATTGCCTGCAGCTCGCCTATTCCACGTACACTTATCAGCTCGAGAGTATTCGAAGAGAGTCGTTTTTCGGCTACTCAGACTCGCTGCTGTCCTAGCACTATCGTGAAGATGTTCGATTAGCCGGTTGTATTTTTCATCGATGTTGGAAACTAACGGAATATTCAAACAAACTCACAAGTGAAGCGAAATGATCCCAGTTACCAACAGTCTTGGGCCTCCTTTTCTGAACTTCGCAGCTCCCTCACCTTGCTCTGAAAAGAGACGATGGTCTGATCCCGTGTAGAACTTCGGAACAGCAGCGACTTCGGCCAAACAAAACTTTCCATCAAAGATGATGTGATCTATTCCTGGGACTGTCCACCAAGTGAAGCGGAAACGTGTGTAGAAGATTTGATTATGCAAGCAAGAAAGATCAATACGACGTCATCGGATTGGTCGAAACGAGAAGGCATCGCCCGTTGCACTTCGTCTTTCAAACTGGGGAAGAACTGTTCCTTGTAGCGGCAGCAGGGGTGTCGACGATTTACAGGTCCCGGTCAACGTACTGTTTTGGAAAGTGGAGATTTGTTCCCGGTAACTAAACAGCCTAGTGACATATCTGAAATCCTTCTGCAACATGTCTAGAAATTCGAGAGAGCTCAACCTCTCTTAGAGGCACAGTTCACTAAGAAAAGGTTTCTGCGGCTCTCTGCAGAGTGATTCTGTGACCTCCGAGGAGAGCACAAGGGACGCTGCCGAGTCGAAAAACGGCTAGAGTGGGTGTGATGAAAGCCTGGAGCCGGTTAACCGATTTATGCACCCATGCCGGAAGCGCCATAGAGGCTGTAGAGGTTGTACCGTTTGCATCGGAACTCACACATTGCACGCAAGCGGCTTACTGTAGCCAGCTGTACGCAATAGCATGCAATTTGGGTAGCTCGTCCGAATACCGCTTCCATGCAACATTTGTCATCACGTTCTCGTCCAGCCCCTGATTTTACATCACTTTTGAAGTCTTATTATTCTCTTGATACGCCGATTTTCGCGTTATCTTCACTTTTGCACCATTCTGAACGATTCTACCATTATGCTTTGAAACTATAATAGACACCAAAATTGTCGTAAACTGTGCCTTTGACTATTATACTTTGCCTGCAGGCGAGTTGAGAAATGAGTGTTTTTAATAATGTAATGAGGTAATTTCTTCATCCATGACTAATTTGGCTTTCATAGCCTTTCATTATACATATTTTATGTTTAGCCGGGGTTGTTTTGTTTTAATTGATTTTACTTTTCGTATTTTAAAATGTCGCTATATTGCTCATACATACCATTTGAAATCTATCCAGATGAGTGTAGACCGACAAAAGGCCAGCAGTCAACCAAACAAGCGAGGCCACCTCAAGGGTAAGTCAGTGGAAGTGGAACCTAACTTGACTTAGAACCATTACATTAGGAATGGGCGTAAGTCTTTGTACATTTTGCATTCTTTTTCAATTTTATTTTTTTCCTTAACAATAATTAACAATTAACAAATATATGCGCCATCATTATCAACAAGTTATTGCCATTTACTATCAGGAGCTTGTGAATTCCGCTTGCCTAGAGTTCCTGAGGTTTCGAGGAGAAAAACCCGCCGATGCACTTCTCGAATTGGTTTATGTCACCGAACTTCTTATTCCTTAAATGATTTGATAACGAGGAACAAGTGCTAATCCGTTGGATCTGATGAATAAAGTGGGTGGGTCAGGACGTGCCATCCCCAGCCTTGAAGTATTTTCTAGGTCTCCTTCGCAATGTGTGGGCGAGCATTGTCGTGGAGAAAGTATACTTTCCGCTGTTTGTCTCTTGGAGGTGAAGCAACACGATCCAACTGAGCACAGTATACTTCGGCGGTGACGGTTGGGTTCGGTGGCAGCAACTCCCAGTGAATGATTCCCTCTGAATTCCAACAAACCTGAGCATTGCCTTCTTGGGATGAAGTTCTGATCGGGGGGTCGGAATTCCCTGCTGTCCTCGTCCAAGCCACTGACGCTTCCTCGTGTGGTTTACGTAGGGAATCCACTTCTCGTTGCCGGTGAACAAGTTGTTCAGCCATGAGAAGGTGCGTCGGAAAGTTCAACAAGTTCAAGCATGCATCTCTGCATCTTCGCACTGACTTTTCTTCTGAACTCATAAAGTAGAAGCAGTCTAACTTGCTTCGAGTCGAGAGCGGTTGTTTCAGCTGTGACCGTTGCGAAATGCTACGGCGGATATGGCGTGATGAGCGCATCGACCTGCACTAACACATGTCTCACAATGAAGTTGTCAAGCAAGCCCCAAAGATTTCACAAAATGGAAACCAACAAGTTCAAAAACTTATGCGCCAACCTAATATTTGCATACCTCTAACCATCTAGTTTGAATAACTACGCGGGCGCAGGCGCAAGCCATATGTCCATCATACTACCAAAATATCA